GCCTATGTCTACACTGGCGGGTTATTGCGCAAGAATGGCCGTTCGTCTGGAAAGCGTCCACACTGCCCACCCACTCTTGCTCAAGAAGATTTACAGTACGGCATGGGAAGAGGGCTTCTTGCAAAAGAGCTACGCTCTTTTTTAACAGGTGTAAGCCCTCTTGCGCAGGAGCTCTTGCACAAGAGGGCAGTGTGGATTTCTTACACAAGAAAGCCCTATGGCTAAAACGACCATCAGCGCTTTCTTGCGCAAGAGAGCGTCCACACTGCCATAGATGCTCTTGCACAAAAGCACAGCTCACACAAGGCAGTGTGGACGTTTTCTTGTGCAAGACTTCTTGCACAAGAACCCTTGCTCAAGATGTTCTTGCAGAAGAAGCCGCCAGTATAGACATAGCCTCAGAGTCCTCTAGTATCTTTTTATTGCACTGCATTTGACCCCAAATTTCCCTCTCTAATGCCTTCTCACCTCTTCTCTGTGGGTTTGCACTGTCTCCAATGCTACCCCTTATTTTTGGATCAGCCTCCTTCCTACCATTACTTCTCAGGTGTTCTACTTAATACCCTACTTCTTCTATAGAGCTTCCTTATGCTGATCATGTCATCTGCCTCTGCACTTCCAACTCCTTCACGGTCCCCTCCCCCGCACGTTTTGTCTTGTCTGGTGTCAGTGCGAGCTCTTCTGGGCAGTGACATTAATTTATACCATGTTTTGTAAAATGCCAGATACATTTATGATACTACATAGAAAATTAGCAATAACCCCCTAGAGTCTGGCCCAGAGTTAAGCCAAAGGCAGAGAACAGCCCTTGTTAAACACCTGCACCATCCTGTGAGATTTTAATTTGCTGCTTCATGATCTCACACCATCAAATTATAGGAGCAAAAAGAATGATCAGTCATAATCCCAAAGAAAAATAAATTCATCCCACAAACACACCACTTTATTATTACATGTGAATGCCTCAAAGGCTGTTTACGAACAGTGTATTTCTGAAGAGAGAGTGCGCCCAGGCTATAGCTTTTAAAAGGTACAAACTAAAAGAAACATACTGTGCCACACAGCAGCATAGGGAGGAGCCCTTTCACAAACTGGTAAGCGCCATGAAAAGTTACACAGAAGCCCACTGTGCTCTCCTATCATCCAGCCTCAGAGGGAGACATCATCCCTCCCCCCCTTAACTGTTACACAGAAAATAAACCATTGCATGAGGGAAAGAACATGCTCGGGAAAAGAGCACCTCCTTTTTATGGGCTGGAAGTGGAGAAGGGTGAGTATTTGCCTTTACCCCTACCTGGATGTTTGGCCTATGCAAAGCTACTCTGTCTGTGCACACCTGCTGTTCAGAAGGGCTCATGTCTCTTTTCTGTTTTATTACATGCTGTTTAAATAATAAAAGGTTGATATATTATTTGTCCAATGCGGGCAGCACATTCTGCATGTTATCATAGTTTGTGCAATAGCCCCATTCCTAGCTAATATTGTAAATGTTTAAACCTTTTTTATGCCAGTGTGTGTCAGTAATAACCCTTTATAGTTTATCATATGCTTCATTCTGTGTGCATAATGCACACTTTTTTCCTAGTTATTTTTCTACCAAAAATAACAGTGGGAATTTTGATACTGGCTCAAACCCGAAACCCACATAGTCTACTATTCTCCCTGAAGCAATGAACAATGCTTGAGAGAGTGAAATACTGCCACAGTACACCTACTTACTTATTAAAACAAAAGGAAAAACTATGCAACACTTTAAAGACTAACAAGATGGTTTAATAGGTGATGGATGAGCTTTCATGGGCCAGACCTACTTCCGCATGTGATCCTTTCTGACATTCTCTTATCCCCTATCCAGTGCTTAAAGTAGAGGTAGAGAAGAACCACAAAGGGTTGCAGACCCAGCTAAAGAGAACACATAAAATTAATACAAATAATACTCCTCATACTGGATAACTGAGTTGTGCACTTCCAAGCATTGTTTTACCAAAGCTGTTGCTCCCAGATTATGATCAACCCACCTTTTTTCAGACCACCTGAAGCACTGTCTCCACTTACTTCTCCCATTACATACACCTCTCCATTTCACAGTCTTGAATGAGAAGTTTTAATTATCTATATTAACTTTGTGTAATCATAAATACCAGCGATCACAACATTATCCAGGCTACAGTATATGACTGTGTGTGGTCTCCTACTATAGAGAATCCCCATGAGGGGGACTATGAAGTAGGACTTATTTTTTCTAAATGTCCTAGC